CCCCCCTTTTTTTTTCTTTCTTTCTTTTCTTATCGGAGGGCTCTTCATTGATTCCTACAATCCGAGGTTGTCATGCATTTCTGGCGTGAAAATGTTTCGCTAAGCGTCCTGCTGGCCGGCCTTGCCCTGGACAAGGACAGTGAGTACACTGACACTGCTAATACTATGTGCTACTCCTATGTGCTTCCAACTGTCTCGGCCAGAGTGCTCCGACTTTATCGAGATCAGCGACCAGAGCGATGCCGACAAACTGAGATCTTGCAAGACATTTGCCGGATACAAGCGAATCGATGCCACTCTCCCGGGGAGTGTGAACCTACACAGCCTTGAGGAGATCCAAGGTGATCTATAGTGCATTAATTCAGGCCGAAGCGACAACGGAACCTTCACCGCGATCTCCTCGTCGACTCTCCGCTCAATCGACGATAGGTTTGAGCTGTCGTCCCTCCCCGGCTTGGATACCATCAGCCTACCGGCCCTCAGAGAAGTGGTGACCATTGACTGGGAGGGCCTGCCCAAACTCAAAACGGTGGACTTTGGAGACGGCCTAGACAAGGTCGGCAATGTCACTCTCAAGTCTACGAACCTAATGGATGTCAGCCCACTGGCCACGGAGAAAGTGGGCAAATGGAGCATCTCGGATCACCCCTCATTGGAAGTCGCCTATCTTTCCAAGATCACCACCTACGAAGAATTCTCCGCCACTTACAAAAATGAAACCCTCAAACTTGTTCTCTCTGGCACGACTGCTACCGGCTCGACCAGCCTCTGTAACATAACACTCGTCAATCTTGGAAAGCTGGAATACACCACGGGAACATTATCTATCTCGAGCTATGTTAACGATCTACTCACTTTCCCTGCTCTTCGCCACGCCGCGGAAGTCAAGATGGAATTAGATATCAAACACCTGGAATTCCCCGTTCTTGAGACCATCCACGGCGATTTTGATGTCCGTCGCAGATACAAAGTAGGTCTACAACATGTAATTTACCACTCCCCTGCAGGAAGCAAGTAATTAACCTGCATTTCTTGCAGAATCTCTCTCCCAGCCTTCGAAGGCGTCGACAGCGACTTTATTCTGAACATCGATCACACGAAGAACTGCACCGACTTTTCGGATTTCAAGGTATTGGGATCCAAATACTTCTGTCAAAGCAACGGCACAACGCACCAGTACAACGTGGACGATGATTACTAGAACTCGGCGCCCAATGTCAGCGTCGGTGTTCTTAATAACGAGACCTTCGGGACTGAGGACAGTGCCGTGGGTCACGGCGGTCTGTGGGCCGGACTGAGCATGGTGGTGCCGCTGCTGGCAGCTATGGCTGTTGTTCTGTAGAGTAATGTATATTATGGCTCTACAATCGGACTAGGTAAACTGTCGATTTCAACGTATATACCTATTCAGGATATTCTCATTTGAAGTTAGGTTGATGGCGTCCAATTCGTCAATGTTAAGTGAATAAAGAAACCATATGCAAAATCCCGACTAAGACTTACAACAACCACGACAATGCATACCTTGAAATTGCTCTGGACTAATTAAGTAAGGCCCTGGCTTTTCGGATATTCAATTCGTATTTCCTTCAATGGATAATTGTAGAGTTATAGTCTGTTGAATCTGGTGATTTTTGACGCCAAAGTGCTTATTTGATCATGCACTAAACTCCTTTGGAATTTCGTGGTCAAAACTAAACTCTTTTTAATTTTCGTCGTCATAATTAGACCGCTTTTAGAATATCAGCGTAACATCATTTGGGAAAACTGTCTTCGAGCATGCTCACATCTGCATATCATGGCATCCTCATACACAGATTTTCCAGCATGGAAACGAGGACGACCGGAAAATATCCATCTGCCAAGGAAAAACAAGCATCAAATGTCACACAATGGTGGAACCAGCAACAGTCTGCTCGCGCTGCACACTGCACCCAGCAATTCAATGTATTGACTTCCGTATATGCCAAAACATCTGATATGCTGGCCGCTCTAATTGACCAAACAGAACTTGAGCCTCCTGCATACCCGAAAAGTACGACTTACTGCTGCATGAATATATGCATGGGCTGAGACAACTAGATGATGATAAGCTCGACGGCTACGGATATGTAGCCAGCATCCATCGACTATGGAGTAGCACATACTCTTGATTGTTTATAAATAGGCCCTACGGTAGATAGTTTTCTCAATCATATTCGCTCGGAATGGTGCCTATGGCATCGTACCGAGCATAGTACAGTCACCTGACAAAAGTCTACGTAATTCCGCGTCGCGCGACGCGCCACCTGATATTGTCCATCATCTTTTCAACCACCTACACCATGCCTCGCACCCCTTTACGATCTACTAGTTCTAATAGGACTAATAGAAAGGAATTAGAACCTTTCCAACGGGGAATTATAGTTGGCCGATTCCTTGCAGGCCAGAAAAAGGCTGATATTCAGCGCGAAATGAATTTACCGTATACAACAATTCAAACCACCATTCAAACATACCAGTCCTCCACCACTGGCACTAGTTCTCCTCGCATTGGACGGCCGGAGATCCTTTCTGATGCTGATAAGCGATATATTCTTTTACAAATCAA